CTGTAGGAGGGGGACAACTGATAGGTGTCAATTAGATGTCAATAGGTGTTAATTAGGTGTCAACGATAGCCGTGTGATGTGAGTATCAGTCACATGGAGGCAGTGCTTAAAAGCCTGAATTTTGCCTGAAACTCTCAGACTGAAGAAGTCTCTTGAAGAGACGAAACGTTTCATTAGAGAAGAACCCGTCCAGAGGACCTATACAATTTTTTTCTTTTTGATTTTTTACCTGGATTACTGAAATGCATCAGGACATGCTTGAAGCTATGTTTCTGTGACAGCACTGTGGCATTTCTTTTGCAGTTTTAATGTACACCTTGTCATATTTCATTGCGTGTAAATAACTGTCATTTTAACAACGTCTTTATTATCCAACATGTTTAAGTTCAGCAACCACTGCATGTTTGTAAAACCAGAAACAATAATCCAAACAATAATCCCACACATTCAGACTGTAGGTTTGTAACGCTTATTTTGCAAGAGATTCATCTGAAACACACACAACATATTTATTACTAAACCTTATTTAATCGACATTGCACTTTTATGCTCGGCTTCTTTCATAGCCCTTTAGCCGATTAGCATTAGCTTACCCTCAATCGTTGTCTAGATGGTATCTTGTCTTCAGCGTCATACTGCTTTAGAACTTTTCACACTCTTCTGTACTTCTCCGGAGTGTTTTGCCTCTCTGCCTGCAGTCTTTTCCTGGTCAGTTCTTTTTGGATTCTAGCAAAAAGCCACTATGTCATCCTTGTTGTGATCGGGGTCGTCTTCTACGACGTTTAATGGTGGCTGGCAAATAGCTTAATGGAGCTTTACTGCCACCAGCTGGTAAAATCATGTAGTGTCAATTTTCAGACTCTGGGACCGCCTAGAACCCACCCCCCCACTAGAGCTGTTACTGAAGTTCAATGGAAAACCACCCAAACTGTTCTGAACGGAGCTGACCCAAGTCAAACCGTGCTGCAGAGGCACTAGTGGAAAAGTGGCATGAGGTTACAGTTCGCACAGACTCACCAAAACTGGACAATAGAAGATTGGAAAACCGTTGCCTGTGTGATGAGTCTGGATTTCTGCTGCAACATTCAGATAGTAGGGTCAGAATTTGGTGTCAACAACATGAAAGCAGGGATCCATCCTGCCTTGTATTAACGGTTCAGGCTGGTGGTGCAATGGTGTGGGGGATATTTTCCTGGCACACTTTGGGCCTATTAGTACCAATTGAACATTGTGACAACACCACAGCCTACCTGAGTATTGTTGCTGACCATGTCCATCCCTTTATGACCTCAGTGTACCATCTTCTGACCATGTCCATCCCTTTATGATCACAGTGTACCATCTTCTGACCATGTCCGTCCCTTTATGACCACAGTGTACCATCTTCTGACCATGTCCTCCCCTTTATGATCACAGTGTACCATCTTCTGACCATGTCCGTCCCTTTATGACCACAGTGTACCATCTTCTGACCATGTTCATCCCTTTATGACCACAGTGTACCGTCTTCTGATGGCTACTTCCTGCAGGATAATTAGTGTTTTTAAAACCGTGACTTTTTCATATCACGGTAATGCCTAATGTGTACGCTAATGAAGATGCTGTGAATGTGTTAATAATAATACATGTTTTAGAAAGAAATGTACCGGAGGTTGTGGCGCGTTGCACAAGGTGAGGACTGACGTGTTGGCTTCCGTGTCAGCTCAGAGTTGCTCTCGTAGGATAATGTACAGATGTATATTAAATTATTACATGTCATGATTCTTATGTAGAGGAGAGTGGTTATATTGCCAACAGGTTTCATAATATTTTTTATATCCTTTCATTCTGTTTGAATTTGACATTTTATTGTATCTTAGCTTCATTTACTCTCCTGAGCTTGTTTGTTGTTAATGTTCATATTTAATTTTACACCAAAGTTATCTATACATTTTATATAAATGAATCTTTTAAAACTGAATGTTTGTCCTTTGTCTCCCCCACAGTGTACAACAGTGGGGCTGCAAGCTCCACGCTGGTGCTGAGACACGATGAAGAGGTTCAGGCGACATGGCCATGAGTCCCATAGGGATCGCCTGAAACAGGAGCTTTTCCAGTTCAGCAAGGCAGGTTGACTACCACACCTCACATAGCTCTCTACACAAAGCCATGTGTTCACACTGGAACCAGTCCTCTGAGACCTAGACCAGATCAATCTTGGATATGAGTCTGTCAGAATCAACCTGGGGATACCAGGTTGATCCTGATTTCTGTTTTTCACTCGGTGACAAGTCAAACACGCTGCGGTTTGTTGCTTAGGTATTCTCCCCTTTTTAGTATTTTTTTTCCCTAAAAATGGGATTTTTTTTGTCTAAACATTTGATGTGTGCATTATGTTACATGGGTTCATGAGATTTGCAAATCATTGGATTCACTTTTTTATGTTAATGTCCCAGTTGTTATGGAATTGAGCTGAGGTAATAAATTAAATACTGCAGATTAATAAAGTTTAACATTGATAAACGTTTTTAAATAATTCAAATTTAATTCAATTCCAAAAGACTTTATTGATCCCAGAAGGAAATTAGATGTTGTAGTAACTCATTTAAGTAAAGAGTTCTTGTAGATGGGGATGGCTGTAGGCAGAAAAGATCTTCTGCAGCGTCAACAAGATTGAAGAATGTCCTGATGCATCTCAGTAATCCAGGTAAAAAATCAAAAGGAAAAAAATTGTATAGGTCCTCTGGACGGGTTCTTCTCTAATGAAACGTTTCGTCTCTCCTCCAAGAGACTTCTTCAGTCAGAGTTTCAGGCAAAATTCAGGCTTTTAAAAGAGAGCCTTGATGTCCTTTTCAGGGGTGCCACCGAGCCACTGGTTCAGATATGTTGATGAC